TCAACCCAATGTATGTACCATATTTTACCTGCATTCCTCTTATGGTTCAAGATATACCTTCTGAAATATTTATCTTTGTAAGGAGAGATAAGAGGAATGGATGGGGCTGAAATTATCCTTGCAGTACCTGAAAGTCACAATGTTTCAGCTGTTGTCACCTGAATCTTCATCTGTAAGTGATGTTTATATCTGTTATTCTGCCCCTAAGAACCATTGACAAGGAGTGGTGACACTCAGATTGGGGAATGCTAGGACAGCTAATAAAAATCAGTGTAATCAGGACGTAGTGGAGGATACTGAAGTTGGGTATCTCATTGATGGATTTAGTGGCAAGTATAGTGGGATGTGTTCCCAATGGAGCACTACACAACCTCAGTAGGCAATGGTTAGTGGTAAGGACAAAGAATCAAGGGAAGTTGGAGATAACATTAGTTAGGTCAGTTCTTTGTATAATCTTCTACTGTAAACATGGGTGAGTCTTCACATCCTGCTTGGGTACTGGTCTAGAGAAGCTCCTTAAAAACCAGCAACCTTGACCTGGAAAATCTCTTAGCTATAGCACTGACCTTGGAGAACATGGTGTGTAGCAAAGAAAATGGATTTTCATGCATGTTCCCTGCTTTCATTAATAATGATTTTACTTCTGTTGGAAAGGTAAGTTTTATCTTGCTGTCATGAAGTTCTTAAGTTATAAGCAAATTACCAGCCCACAAAATTTTATTAATCATTTAATGTCAGTATTTGACCCTAAACTAGGAAACATAAGAGGGAAAGTTAATTTCACTTTAATCTGGCTTTCCAAATTAAGAACAGTTTGCTTTAAAAGCTTCTAAAAAGAATGACTGAGTAATCTTGGTCTATTACACAATTTCTATATATAATACATTTTATTTGTTATGAAGTTCAAGGTCAACTGTTTCATGTAGAATCAGCTGGACCATACGTCGTATCTTACTAATGGCAGTGTTATTTTTTCATTCAGAGATATTTTCTTATAGGTGTGACAAGCTCTCTGAAACAAAGCAATGTTATAATATAGCTAAAAAAATATAATTAAAAAATTGGTGATGCGCTCTTGTGCATAAATACTGTCATTAGGATCATCTGCATCTCAGCTTGCATTCTTCAAGAAAACTCACAAAATGTGCTGACTAATTAACAGGAGAAATAGCACTAGAAAATTTTATGACTACATTCAACAATCATATCTGACAAAAGAAAAAAAAGTTTGAAAACATGGAATTTTTAACTCTAATATAGAAAATTCCTATCCACAAAATTCAGTAGACACCATTTGGAGGATTCATTGTCTTTGGATTTAAAGCAGTGGCTTTTCAGAGACCTTTTGACAGCTTGTGAAGATGCTGAAAATTCACCTTGGAGGGGTACACAGGGATCATGCACATAGTTGTTTATGGCTTTTTCCTTCAGCAATTTCATCCATAAACTTTACCTGCTGTTCAGCTATATAGGCACCAGGGGTTTTGAAGACTATCTATATATAAATATTGGTGGGAGAATTGGACAGATATCTTAAAAGTAAGTTCTTGTTTTGAAAATGGGTAAAAGTTTAAGTAAAATGTTACATGAAATCCAGTGGAAAATTGATGATGAAAATGAATAACACTTTTGGTACTTTATAAAAAGAAAATAAATAGTTTTCTTAAATATCATGGAAAGGACCTAAAGAACTGGAAAATAATTGGCTGAAACCTCTTAGTCACTAGAAATGTATTTCACATTTTATTAGTTGTATTATGTTTATTTTGAGAGAAAAAAAGTGTTTAAAAAGGTCACAAAATATGGAAAAGCCTATCAGATATTTCATTCTGGTAGGATTTAATTTTGAAAATCTGATAACTTTTCTTAGTTATTTATGCAACATAAAAACATAATGCTTCCTATTCTTGCCAAGTTTCTCAAAACCATTTCTGATTGAGTAAACCATATGGTATATCTGAAAATAAAGGGTTTTTTAAATGTAAATTTTACTTGGCTTGTAGAATAACGTTTTTAACTGAAAAAAAATAAAGTTGTAATGCAACTGTGTTCTGGTAATAACAATGAACATGGAGAATGGGATAGATGATAATTTCACTGTAGCTATTGCTGACAACTGTAAATTTCTTTACTTTCAGGTAGGCTTCCAAACCTCATTTATTGAGTCTCAAAAGAACTAGTTTAATATATAAATTTAAAAGGAATTCAAAGCCTTTCAAGGTTCCAAATAAAGTGGTCTGGTTATGATGAATAGAACTGAATTCTTCCACTTACAGGAGTGAATTTTAGGTATTGACCACACAACCCTCCTGAGCTGTGCATTTGGATTTTGCTTTATGATTAACATTGGGATATAGATGATATTGCCTGGACCCAGGTGCTTGCTGTCCCTATGAAGTCACGCTGTCAGCATTTCACCTGATCTGCTATCAACTCATTCCTTATGCTGATATAAGGCTCCGTGAGCTTCACCTTCAGTTCTCTACCCTGTCTCTCTTCCCTAGGCTACTTCCAGGGCTGGGTGGCCTGAGATAGTGATGGTGTTCAGCCTCCCTAGATATAAAGCAATTCATAGAGACAAAAACTGTCCCTTATGGCCTGTTTTCTGGCCATTGCTGATCTTCAGGCTCTGTCTTTTAAAAGTGCAAGGAGGTAAATAAGAATACAGGACTCTCCTGTAACTGTGTGCAATAGCTAGGAAAATGATAAGAACACAGACATGAATTTTCTGTCCACAGATAGCAGTGAAAATCACATTTTCTCCTGAAAATAGCTAGAAAAGACATTGTTTCAGACACCCATTTCAGTCTAAGTAATTCCTGCCACAAAAATAAATCAAAAGAAATTCTGCTCCTATCATTCTGTTCAAAGACTGCCCTCAGTTTGCTATGACTTGATGCTGCTAATCTCTGTAGAATAGGTAGAATACAACAATCCTTTTTCTGCTTATGCTAACTTGCAACAGCACCACTTTCTGGGATGTTAGCCATCCAATTTACATTTTGTTTCTAATCCTATTAATAACACCAATTTGCTGGGTCTCAGAAAAAGTACGTATTTTTCTAAGAAACACAATGAAAGCAGCAGTGTGAATGTCAAACAGATGTAATAGATCTTTGTTTAAAACTCCCACTAAAAATCTTAGAGATCTTAAATTTTTTGGGTTATTAATTTACTTAATGGGTTTGCTATTGTAATCTTGGGTCAACAAATATTTCTGTCTTGCAGGAAATCTCAGTGAAGGATAATTGTTTTAAAGCCTTGAATTTTAATTAATCTTAGCTTACATGCAAAACAAATCTCTACTTTATTGCATAAAAACCTGCATTTTGAATTGTTGTTGTTCCAATTCAGTCTATTGATGACTGAAAGAGAGTTTTCTTAAAGGGCTTATTCAATGCACCTATTTGTGTATTTAGGCCATTTTTTTAACCTCTTTCACTGATACACCAACAATGATTTATATACTGTGTTTCAGAGTATTTATAAATAATGGCATGAGATGGAAGATTTAAAAGGAGCAGGTGTTCAAGCTCTAAAGCTGTTAGAATGGATATGTACATAGATATTTCTTGGAAAAAGGGACTCTGGGAGTTATAAAACTAGAGCTCCGTAAGCTTGGGACTATCTACTCTTCTATCAGATTCAGCAAACTGACAAAAAATCTGCCAAACTTGTCAAGTTTGCTGTGACTCAAAGGCAGTTAGAAAGTATTTTTTAATTGCCCACAAGGGTATTTAGGGGGTTGAATACATTAGGAAAGTAAGTTTTATTATTATACCATAAAATGACACAAAAAACTACATGCTGTCTATTCTTATACCAGTGTTATTTTCTTGCTGGCTTGTTCTCCTGGGTACACACACAAGAGAGTATAAATATCATATTCAAACCATTGGAAAAGGTGGTATGGAAGGGAATATGCCTGAAAAGTATAAAAGCACATTGGAATGAACTTGGAAAATTGAAAAATTGAATTTTTTTTAGCACAGATTATTTCGTGCTGGCAGTGCATGTTTAATTAGATATTTGAGCCAAAGGCTAAAGTGGTTGTCATTGCTTTGTTTATGCAGCAGGAGATGTGGCTGACAGCTCTGCTTTAGAAACCACCACCACCATGACAGAGCCTCAGGTCATCACCTATAGAAATGATACTATAATGACAAACACTTGCATTCCTGTAGGTGGGGGAAATAGATGGTTGACACTGAATATTACAATACTCAATGCTCCAACACTGTATATTTCACTTACTGGGGGACAGTGAATTTATGCATATACCTGATGCTATAGATATTTTATTTTATGGAGATACAGAAGGTTAATTTAGTTATTTAAATAAGAAAGCAAACTTGTTTGAACATAACAGAATAGATAAAAAATTATTTCCCAAAACTTCCCAGATTCAGAAGTTGTTAACAAAATAATGCTATCTTAGACATGGGTTTCTAAACAATTTCATGAAAACTTGAATTTGAGAATCAAAATTAATCCTTCAAGGTACAACTTAATTTAGAATTAAAGTTCTAGAGGTTGTTTGTTGTTTTACGGCTAGTTTATTCAGAAATTTCACCAGAGTAAAAAGAAATGAAAACATTAAACTCTTTTAGACATACCTCAGCAACAACTTTACACCACTTCAATAGTAACACATAAGAAATATGCTAGAGTATTTGCATTTCTACATGGATTACAAAAATTCCTCTCAAAGAATGATTGAATCTACTCTGGAAGAGTCCTTTCTTCCAGTGGGTTAGTAAGAGGTTATTGAGAATTGTTTCTATAAAAAGCTGCCTGAAGTCCTAAGTCCTTTATCTTAAGTCCATTGAGACCTGGAGCTATCATAGGCAAATACTGTAACTTTCAGGAAATACACCACCAAAAGAAAGTGAATTAGAGACGAAGAGCTTGGGGACTCTGAAAAGGAAATGTATTTTTTTGTCTTAATGCATTGAGTTGATAAAAAGAATTCACTTGGCATTCACTCTCTCTGCTTCGAGTCTGGAAAAAAAATCTTTATTTTGTCTGAAATATAAAAACCAGGGTACTCTATGAAAGTCAATGACAGTTTTGCCTCTTGCTTCATTGTACTATCTTCACCACAGATGATTTTGGAAGGTATAGGTGGAAGAATCCCTACAAATTTTTGTTGTGGATCTATAGGCAATAAAATGAAACACAGTTGTTGACTACAGATGCATATTTTGGATGCAATATGCCACCTGAAAAGCCAGCTCTTGACAGATGTACCTTGAATAAAACTTTTCCCAGGTGCCATGCCAATGATTTCTCTGATAATAATTCACTGTGTAACATAAATAAAAATATTGATTAGAATAGTGGCATACAGTACTAACATATAAATAACTGTAAATTTGCCCTTTCCCTGATATCCCTTCCTCATTAGTGCCAAAATATTTCTCATGTTGCTGTCATTGCCAGAAGCTATTTCTTAGAATACACCATCTCTCTCTCACCAGAAACTACAGCTAAAGAAATCTTCCATGTTTCTCCACTGCTTTGAAATTTGTATATTTTTCTCTAGATTGTAAGGTTATAAGAAAACAATGATTCAACAAGAGGAGAATTACATGAATGTTCCATGAAAATTGAAATCTCTCCTTTTATTTCATATGATTGGAAAAGGATCAAAAGCTGAATTTTGAGTAACAGTATACTGGGCTAAAACTGTTAAAGGTCACTTGAATTTTAAAATCAGAATTGATTTATTTCTGACATGATCACAGTTATAGAGCTGGTCTCTTTGTATCTGCATGCAAATATATGTGATTGTAAGTGTAGTAAGTGTAGTTGTAAGAAATTCTATTTAAATTTTTCCTAAAACAATTTCATCTAATTATCTATATATGATATACTTTCACAAGGTTTTATAATTTCATGCCTTATTAATGATTTTGTAATATATTATTCCATAATATATGAATGTAGAAAAGCAACCAGGACTTCTAGCAAATATCAAACCTCAGATTTAATTCAAAATAGCAAATAGGTCACCAAAAAGTCAAAATTGGAGTATAGACTGAGCTTCAAGATGAGGAGAATGTAAAATTTTCTTCAGGAAATTACCGGGTGGAGTCCTTGGTATACTTTGCAAAAAATACCTGCTTTAGAAGAAAAAGGAACAACATTCTTTTTGCTTAAAACTAATTATGGAACATGGAAAACTCTTTCTTCACAAAACAAATTATCGTTGAGGCATCAGAGACTTTGAATTCCTTGTATACCTGTGAAAGCAACTAATTCTTAACCCCAGTGAAAGTAACAAGAATTTTTTCTGGACTGGTTTGATCTTGGAAGGCCAGGATTTATTTCACTTAATATGCAGTATTTTTTTGAAGCCCAAGAATGTATAACCTTGGAATTTTTACTCTTATGCAAAAAGAGAAAGTGCTAGTGAAAATAAAGGCAAAGTAACAATGAAACATTAAAAGAGCAAGCCACTTAACTTTAAAGCATTTTGTAAAAATTAACATTAAAATATATCAGTGATGCTATTTGTTAATTTTATAATTTCACCACTCTGATTTTCATTTTACAACTCTTCATAATTTTTAACAAGGATAATGCATGTTATTTTCTTAATATGGAAGGATATAAAAAAACTTGCATTGTCAGTTACTCTTCTGAAATGGAAACACTGGAAATAATTTTGTAATATGTCACAGGTACATTTCTAAGGACTTTTTCCCTTTCTTTGAACCTAGTAAAATTTGGAGCCAATGAAGTCTTGTACCCTAGTGAGGGATGTTTTTTTTCTGCTAATTGAAGTTCAAAATGCCTGGATACAAAACATCTGATATATTACAGCTTGAGCAAAAAGTCATTGATCCTGCATCACTTTTTCCTAAGCCTATTATTTGCCCTTCAAAGGAAGGGCCAGAAGAAGCAAGAAGGGCACAAATGCAACAGATTGCAGGAGGAAACAAATATAAGCATTAATATTATATGAGAAAGAAAAGTATTCTGTAAAATATTCTTTTACACTGTGGGCTCTTCTACCTTCCTTGATCCTAGCCAAAGAATAGTCAACATTTGTTCAACTACTTCCGTATCAGCTACTGACACTTTTGTGTGCTGCTACAGAATATTGCAGCATGCATGTTGGTTTGTCTGTAGGGTAATTTTGCCAGCAGCAATTTTCATTTCAAAATATTTTGTACCTGCTGCTTCCTCCGTTGAATAGTATGTGGTTACACTGAGTTTTTCACGTACTAGTTTAGTCTCACAAGAACAATAAGTGAGCCCTTAGGCATTTTGAAAATATCCTCCCTGGAACTTACAGATATTTCAAAGAAAAAAACAAAAACCTTAGGATCACAAGCTCCACTCATATTCTGAATGTCTATGTTTCTAGTTGCTTCTCCATTTTCAAAAATCAAAATTTCAGCATAAAATATTACAGTTATCTGACACGCTAAAAGTATTTAATGTAAAGAACTATAAGCTTCAGGAAGAAGAATTGTGAATAAGCAATGTGTTTTCTTGAATTTCTTTGTTTATATTTATCATGTTTGAAACCCATTTTCCTGTGTCTCAAGTACATCTCATTGAACCATAACATGTATTTAAAAAGAAAGGACTAGTCAGAAAAAAGTGTATTCATTGACATTGCATTTCAGGAGATTTTTTTTGCAACAAATTATGTACCAAAGCTATATCAAATAACTTTCATTCCCATGTGAGTTTTCTATAAAAGAGTATTCTTTTCATACATGAACTCCAGGGACATATGACCCAATTTTATTTATTTGAGAAGGAAGATCATGTCCTTCCCCCAAATTTACTCTATCGCCCACTATAACAGAATTATCCAAGCATTTTTCTCTAAAATTTAAAGCAGCAGTCTACATCAGTTATGTAGTTAGAAAGGTCTTCTGAAATCAGGAAACTTTGTGTGAATTGTTAAATCTGCTAAAATTGTTTCTCTAAATAAATAAATTCTGAAGTGAAATGATATATTAAAATTCCAATTTTATAAATAGTTTGTTTTGACCAATAAGTATGATGAAAAAAGGAGAAGTCAAAACTTGACAGTTAAAAGAAAATTATTGGGCCATCATCTGAATAAGGTTTTCTTGTTCCCTGTTGTGATGACAGATTTAAGTGAAAGCTACTGTATAGGTGGAAACCAAATTTTTAATATTGAATCAAATGGATAATCTTTCACAGAGTTTACTTGGTGTTATTAAAAAAAAAAAAGTATATTTTTATTTTTTTGGTTTTTACATATCAACCATAAAGCCTTCTTATCTTTCTTATATATTGGAGTATGCCTCCACACCAAAGAGAGTTTTTTTAACATAAAAATCTTGTTCTTTTTTACAACAAAGAAACCAAAAACTTGTTTGGGGAAAATAATGATCTGCAGGACAAAGTAAATATTAACAGGGACTTTGATGAAAGTCTGAAGTTTGCTGATTAAGGACGAATGAATGTTAGCCATATACTGATTCCATATCTGTCACAGGATCAGGATGCTAACAAAATGCCAAAATAATGAGTAAAAGTAATATTAAACACAGTTTCTTCAAAGGATTAATGGGGAAAAGATTTTTTTTCTAAAGTTTCAGGGTAGGCATGTAAGAATCTTAGACTTATTACGCTATGTGGTACATTTTGAAAGTGAGTTAAAAAATACTTCAGCTAATAACTCTTAGAGAGATAGTAATCTAGAGTGAAGATTTAATGAGCTATTGTGTTGTTTTCACAAGAACACAGTTTTGACAGGATAATTTTGATATGCCAAATGCCTTTTTGCATTTATTGTTTGTAATACACTTTCCAAACCAAACAAAAGGCACTTCTTCTATAGGCCTACTTTTTCTAAAAATAGTTCAATTTGGATTAAAATGAGAGCACGTTCATATAAAAACCTCCCTGTGCCCATGTTGTGGTGCTGAAATAAAGCTCCTTTTTTCACCCTGGAAAACTGTAATCTAATTTTATTTTCTGCAATAACATAAAATCTCTTTAATGTATCCTTCTTAGCCTAGAACAAGGCCAGGAATGTTTCATGAAATCAGCCCACTTTGCCATCTTGATGTTCATTCAGCACTAATGTGACTACAGCCATTAGCTCAAACTCTGTTATTTATGTTCCAAATATACTGTATATTTTTAGAAAGTACTTTTGGGGAACCTTACTGGTTCTGAATCTTATGCAAATCCTGATGGCTAACAGAGCTTTAAAAATCATCTATGTGTATATGCCTACGTGTGAGTATGTAAAAAATATTACTGAAAGTCCCATATATTGTTCAAGAAGTATTTAAGCTTTGTCTTCAGAAGTCAGTAATAAGTCTCTTACATTTCTTAGTTATAAAAGCTTCTCATGTTCTGGGACTTTCAAGTTCTGCCATATAAGTGAGATTCAACCACTCAAGCGTTTTGACAGAGCTCATACACATTTAACTTCTTTACATTACAAACCAATACTGAGCAATTAAATCTTATTTCTTCTACTATTGTCCATGTGATATGATCCAGTCTGATAACTTTTAGATATCCAGGGTGATGCATCTTTCATATTTCAGCATATCCATTTCCTCGACCATGTAAACACCTCTATTTGCAATGCTTTGGTGTGTACTCTTGTAGGGCTTGCTTGAGGAAAAATACCTGTCTGGTTTCCAGTTTGGCCCGCGCATGACTCTATTTTTACCGCAATTTCTGAAGTGGGAGCAGCTTTCTGGATGAAATCTCTTTCTTCTTCATCTCATTACATTGTTTCTATATGCCAAAAATTAAAACTTATTTAGGTAATGTACTCTTTCATCTTGGGGCTTATCCATAGAAATATTTTTATTACACTAAAGGGATTCTTTGTACTTGTCAAGGTGATGCCAAAGGCTCATTAGCCAAGAACTTTAAAGAGAGGACCGAAGAGTAACTTCTAATACTGATGTCTTCTTTTCATTTTCTAATGTCTACAGAATTTCTATTTTTGAACACAGTTGGAGTTTTACAAGTTATTTTTTCCTATGAAAGGTCAGGTAGAAATGAAATTAACTGTAAGATAGACTCCAATACAGTTTTGTCTATCCAGTAGCAGATTTTCCTCATTTGTAATATTGATTAGGGTTGATTTTGCACATTCCCTGATTTTGCACTCTCATCGGATTACCAGCCTCTTTAGTTTTATATACTGCACCTATGTACATCATTAACCCTCCTGACATATTGGGCAGTAAGTTGTAAAAGATATATCACAAAGGGTAAGTGAGAAAATAAGAGTTCAATATTTCAGAATTTTATCTGAATATATTAAAAACATCATTCTTTGTACTGTAGAAAAAAGCCTGTTTAAGTTTCAATTAATACTTACTACAATGCATCTAATTTTTTAAAATTTAATTTTCCTTGGTCAGTAATCTTGCTATTTATGATTGTAAAGTTTGAAGTTAAGAGGCATTGATCTACAAAATTCTAGGTTAAATATCATCATTAAACAGGAACAAGAAGAATACAAATGTTATTAAATAAGATCACTGATTCAACATGCATTTGTTTCAAGGCTTAAATATAATAAGTGTTTAGATGTCATTCCGCATTCCACCACCTCTTCATTAGGAGGAAATATTGTACCTCAGCATTCAATGATTCATGTTTAAGTGTTCAAACACATCATGGCATAATATCAGATGCACAATATCAAACATCTAACATCAAAGCTACTTAATAACCAGAAAGGGGTGAAGAGTATGTTACAACCTGCCCCTGAGGGTGAGGGTCACTCAGCTTTTTGTTAATAGATCCATTGGGACAGGTTAGAGTGAAATGAACTTGAATGATTGCTGTTTTGGTTATTATTATATATAGTAATATAGCAATATAAAGGCATAAAGAATAAACCTGAAGAAAATGTATAAAGAAGAAAGAACAGCAAAGGATAAGAGTAGAAAGATATCACCATCTGTGAATCTTGTGGCAAGACTTACTTGTTACAATTCAGATATCCATTGGTCAAAGTGGTGGTCATAGTCTTGATCGCTTGGGAGTGGTCAAAATCTCGGAAAACACGAAGTTCAATTGGTTAATACGCACTTAAGTTTACATAGGAACACCCAGGTAACTTCCCTGAGGTGAAGGTTTACAGTGTCTATTGCAGCACTGTGGATCATGCACAGTCCACCTGTGGAAGGCCCCAAAAATCAGTGTGGGAACTGTTCCGGTGTCTTTGGTGTTTTATGACATGTTTCAATGACGTGACAGCCGCTTCTCACATCAGCATAGTTGAACCACTTAAGCCCCCTCAGAAACGAATAACACCCTCAGTCCTGTGTGTGGATGTCTGTGCAGAGGGGAGTTTTTACAACTGAGCCAACTGTGCAAGGGAGTACTGTTATGATAAAAAAACACTGTCCTTTCAACACACACATCTGGTTCAAAACCCAGCTTGTAGTCTCTGGTGGTGCACATTCACTCCCTCTGCCTTATGCAGATCAGACATTTTGCCATCACATACCCAAAACCTCTCCTCCTTCCCTTTGTCCAGGAGGTTTAAACCTGCCCCCAGCCAAGCTTGCTGCTGTTTCTGTAAATGGCCAATTGTTTTGTGTAATTTACAATCAATATGTCAGTCCCCCACAGAGTGTTAAAGAAACTTCCCTGTCTGCTCATCCAGAAGCTGCTCTGGCACACCCACACTACCTGAGCTGGGACAGGGAGTAAATTATATAAATCAGTGAAGAAATGTCAATTTTTTCAAGAATTATAAAATTGAAATTTGGTTGCAGGGGATCAGTACTGATATTACTCATGATGCGGTATGTTTTAGTTAAAGTTTTCATTAATGGTCTTGTACAAAAATAGGATTGTTTCTTTCTCTGATGTTTTAAGGTATCAATATTATAGAGAAAAAGAGGTGCATACAGTAGGAATAGGGTGTTTTGAAAGCTATAAAGTTGTCTCATATAATGATTTTTTTGTGGAAGGATATGTATTTACTGACTAACAGCAATATTATTTTGCTACAAATTTTAAGATCAGAAGTTAAAATTATAGAAGAATTATAAATAATTTTAAAATAAATAAACATATTAATTATAATAATATATAAAATTAAATATAAACTTTTATATTAAATTATATCTGTGTATAGCAGCTGATACTACATTAAGTGGACAGGTCTGCATTCCAAAATGGGAGAGAAGAAAAACAAAGGGTGACTGACACAAAGAAGAAAAAAAGGCTATAAACAAGTACTAAAGGCTATAAACAGCAAGTCACAAATAAGCTTCTAATCATCACAACAGTGAGGGTTTAGAACAGCTTTCCAGTAGTGCTTGTGCAAGTAAGAGTTTAGATGGTCCTGATGCTGTTTATGATAAAAGGTTTATGACTGATTGACTGTGATTAAATTCTTCTCACCTATTCTTTTTATCCCATCTTTTGGAATCTGGAATCTACTGACAAAAAATTATGCTGTTAAAGAGGTAAAAGTTACACTTTCAAAAGTCACCTTCTCAAAAACAGTTTGTTTTATTTCCACAGGCACTATAAAATACTTATTTGGAAGGCAAGATCAGGGTAAATAAAAAGTGCTTTGCCAAATTAAAGTGAAACAGATTTAACATTCAAAAGTGTATGACCTATATGCACATCCTGGATTGCAATTTCTGGGTAGGTAAAGTGTTGGTGTCCAGCTAAAAGAAGGGAAGGCAGAAATCTCAAGTGGACTTAATTTGGATTATATTTTGGTTCCATGGGCTTTCCAAGGTTCCATTATCCAAGACTTTCAGTGTAAACTTCTAAGAAAATGAAATATTTATATAGCAAATCCCCTTGCTATGCCTTTCCAGTCCTTTACTGTCACACTATGACACAAAATAACTCACACACGCACGTGGGATGCAGAAGAGGGAAAAAGAGCGATAAGAGGAAGTTTATGATTCCACAATATATAGAATTCAAAAAGTGACAGTGGCTTGAAGGGTGAAATTGCCATCTCTCCAACCACACTGGTCAAACCAACAGTCCATCAATTCTCTCCTCCCACAAAGAAGAAGGCAAAACAATCATTATTTACATGAACAGTGTGAGAAAACTCCAGTAGAAATATGTAAACATCAGAAGGCATAGAAAATTTTTAGAAGAACTTTGAAACTTAAAAGAAATATCATTAAAAAGATCAGATGATTTTCCTGAACCATTATGATATCACAATTCATATACAAGTGACATTTTAAAATTTATTAATTTCCTGATGCCAATTACATCTTTGAAAGGGACCAACTCCTTTCTGGTTTGTATGGTTTTATGCATGTGAGTTACTTCTTTGTTTAACCCAAGTTGCTATAGATTTATTTCAGTGGAGGAAACATACTAGCTTTCTGTGCTCATAATTAGAGTGCCATTTAAGAAGATAAAAAATAGAATTTATGTATATTTTTTTCCTGACTCCAGGATCAATCTGCAATTCTAGTATGAGCTCTGCATTCTCTTGGCCAAAAATTCTTTTCTTATGTGTGAATCAAATTGAGATGGTGTTTTGCTCTGAGTTACAATTAATTCCATCTAATGTCAACATCTTCAGCTCACAATTACACTCATAAAATGAGTAAAACTTCACTTAAGTGAATGTAGTTCTGTGCTGCCTTGCTCAAAGTAATGAGAAGTGTCTATGTTTTGACTGTCTGTTGTAGTTTTGTTTTAAGTCAGACAAAAATGATTAAACACAGCAAAAAATATTATACTGAGGCTCCCAAGGTTTATCAAATTTTCATTAAGAATAGAGTTGACTTTGGGTTTTCAGTCACCTTCATTTAACTATTTATTACTATTTGTGATGACTAGGGTATTTCACATGGAATCTAACCAGTGGTTAAGAATTCCAAAGATTTGATGTCATGTGTTGCAGTTCCTCATTAATGTCTTAAGATTCTTATTATCTTTTTATCCATTTGTGTGAAACAGCATCAAGCCATGTATTTGTATAAGATGATATTCTACATTAGGAAATAAAAAATGACAAAGGAAAATATGTTGTGGGCTGAATACAGTAGTGGAGCAAAAATAAGCTGCAGCTCAGAGAACATTTAATATTTTTATTAAAAGTGTGCGTGTGGGAAATAGCTACAGGAAGACATGAAGAAGATTTAAAATGGTCACTTAAGATACATAGATGGAGATGGACTGCAAATAGTATGGGTAACAGCACTGCACAGAAGTTCTTTTTAATAATTTTCATTGCTAATATATTCTTTATTCAAGCAATAGAATGTATCCTGAACTCAAGTCTGCTTGCCACTGCCCGCAGTAACTAACTCTGTTTAAATAATTTGGGATTCTACTAGCATACAACTGATGTAAAAATTTAATCAAGACTATTACATCCTCTGGCTGTAAACCAAATATGCATTTGGATTTTCTTGTGGGAATTCCAGTAAGACTATTATTAAAAACAAACAAACAAAATCCCAGAACCAACCCCCCCCACAAAAAACCCCTCCAAACCCACCCCCATACATAATGAACTATGTAGATTAATTAAAACCCTGTAGCATCTTATCATTCTTTCTCTATTCAGTCTGGTTTTAGATATAGAAACTCAATAATAAATTAATTTATTTCTGTTTAGTCAGTTGAATGTATTCTTGCATTCCTGAATTAATACTCCTGTAGTCAAGCTACTCAAAAACTTAAGATTTAGGTAGCTTACACATAAAAGAGAATATATAAAATAACTTGCAAAGATAAAAGTAGAAATAAATAATCAGGTTCAGTCTTAAATGTACTTAATAAAGAAAAGTGTGGCACTGTTGTATGTCTACAAGCCACAAATGTTTTATAGGAAACTGCCAAGAATTTTATTTTTCATTTCTATTGGTTTTAGAACTTTCCAGAGGCAACCAGAACTTTATGTAAGTTTACAGTAGGATTTTATGCTATGTAAAAATGAATTTGTTAGTCATTTATTGTATTGAAGTAGCACTGTGCTATGCACTGCCAAAACACAGTGGGGTACAAACCTTACATCTAAATACCTTTTGAGCTATGCAGGGAAGAAAAAGGCAAAGTACGAGAAGATAAACAGCACTGAAAATGTAAAGAATTTGTGTGTAGCCAGAACTGCGGCAGAGGCTTTGAAAAAATCCAAATATTCCTGAGTATCCCTGAGACTCTGCTCATTCCTCTTAGCAGATAAACTGTGCAATTTTTAACAGATCTGTGGGCACCTTCCAGCAGCAATGGCTGCTGACAGTGGTTCTCAGCTCTTCCATGCTTCTTCAAACTCTTTTTCCCTGAATGTATTGTTTCTTCTCATGTTTCTTTTTTGTTCAGTCATTTCCATGCTGGGATAAACTTTGTAAATCTTTTAAGAACAAAATTAAGGACAAAAGATACCTGGTCTCCTGACTGATCCTTAAGTGTTCAGCTTGGTAAGGCAGTGCTTTAATGTAACCTCCACACTTCAAATTTTTTCATAGGAAACAGATATTTGTAAATCAATGCTGTAAACTCATATTCACATAGGAAGCCAGTCTCTCTCCTCCCGTGTTTGCTGGCTCAAGTGCATTGAGACAGAGGTTGGATGTCGTGCAGTATGCAATTGCATTTGTGCTTGGCAATCTCAGGAAGATGGTGGCATCTGACTCTCTTTGGGATTTTTTTGGAGCTGGACCTAATCTTGTTTAATTGAGTCTTTCAATTCTGTTTTGTTTATCATTTTAAAATGAATTTCCATGCCAAAGTTTTTTTCTCCATATCACAATTCTTTTAGAGCACAACTACCACTATCTTTGCTTTTACATTTTTCATCTTACATGGCTTTAATCTATAAACATCCCTCTAATATCTGAAGCATGGGTATAAAGAGGATTGATATCTTGTGAAGGCTGACCTAGAACAGAGACTAGATAAAGAATATGGTAAAGAATAAGGAAAGAAAAAGGTAGGTATTTATTAACAGATCCACCTTGGGCAGCACAACCCAAAATGGATGACAGGTCACAGGGTCTCACACTTATACATTTTGGTCCATTAGCATATTGGAGCTAATTTTTCAATTACAGCTTTAGC